TGTTTCCATTTTCTTACGTTCCACATCATTCTTTGGACATTGCATAAGAATAAATTTATCTCCCTTTTGAATAGGGATTACACTCGCCGAGCACTTGCTCATGTTAAATTTCTTAAGAATTTTCTCAATATAGGCTTTTTGAGATAATCCTAATAAACCTTCGATCTCTTACGGAATATTAAAATTCCAATCACATAGGATGCCTCTCCCATATCTTTCATTTTAAAACTTTTAGCAAGAAATTCTTTAGTCTTATACAACAAACCAAAGTCATTAGCAAGCAAGTAAAATATCATCAACATACGGAACTAGAAATATAAACTTACTCCCACTAATCTTTCGATAAATACATCGATCAACAGGTGATTTTCTCAAAATCGAAAGAGGTAATGGTATTATTGAACTTAATATACCATTACTTGGAAGCTTGTTTAAGTCCATATATTGACTTCTTCAATTTACACACCATACTTTCTTTACCTTCAATGGAAAAACCTTTAGGTTGATCCATATAAACTTCCTCCTCACGATTCCCATTCGGAAAGGCCGTTTTCACATTCATCCGATGTAGCTTTAAATCAAATTAAGCTACTAATGCTAAAATTATTCTCAATGAATCTTTCTTTAAGACAAGTGAAAAGGTCTCATTATAATCAATGCCATTTTTCTGAATGTAACCTTTGGTAACAAGTTTAGATTTATATCTTTCAACATTACCATTCGAGTCGCGTTTGGTCTTAAAAACCCATTTGCAGCCAACTCTTTAAAACCTTCTGGCAAGTCTACAAGATCCTAGACATTGTTTTGAGCCATTGATTTCAACTCTTCTTTCATACAATCAATCCATCTTTCGGACTTATCACTAATTATAGCTTGTGAAAACAAAACAGGATTATTATCAATGCCACAATCAAAATCGACTATTGCAAATAAATCACATAATCATCGAAATAACCGACCTTCTAACCCTTATAGGTCTATTTAAAGCTATACCAATAGGTTCATTTGCATGAGCTAATGGTAAGTTAGGTTCTTCATAGGGTGCTTCTTCATTAACCAAATGTTGTTCTTGATTATTTTGATCTTCCAAAATAAGAACAACATTTGTTGTGGTTATGTATTTAAGAAAATTTATAGGTAATGAAATATTAACCCTTATTTCATTAATATCCACAACTTGTTTTTTAGCACTCCAACTAACCTCACCATTCTCTAAAAATTTGGCTTGGCTCTTTCAACAATTCTAGAACCGTGGTTCGAACAAGTAAAACCTATACCCTTTAGATTTCTTAGGGTAACCAATAAAGTAACCACTAACCGTTCAAGAATCTAGTTTTCTTTCATGTGGATTATAAATTCGTGCTTCGATGGACAACCCCAAACATGCAGGTGTCTTAAATTATTTTTCCTTCCGAGTCCATAACTCGAAAGGAGTTTTTGAAACTGTCTTGCTAGGAACCCCGTTTAACGGATACATAGCAATTCTAAGTGCTTATGTCCATAAAATTTTGGGTAACGAGGAATTACTCATCATACTCCTAACCATATCTATTAATGTTATATTTTGCCTTTCTACCACACCATTCTGTTGCGGTGTGTCGGGCATAGTATACCGTGCATATATGCCATGACTTTCGAGGAACTTAGCAAATGGACCAAGACACTCGTCTAGATTCATCATATTTTCAATTATACTCACCACCTCTATCGGATCTTATAATTTTCACTTTTCTATCTAATTGCCTTTCAACCTCTTTTACAAACACCTCAAGGGCATTTATAGTTTGAGATTTTTCATATAGCGAATAGATATATCCATATCGTGAAAAGTTATCTATAAAGGTGATGAAGTATTTTTCTCCATTAAAGGATGGAGTGTCAAAAGGTCACAAATATCGGTGTGTATTATTTTCGAAGCTAATTGCTTCTTGTGGCTCCTTTTTTGCTATGTTTGGTTTGCTTGCCCTTAATGAATTCCACATATAAGCCAAGATCAATAAAATCTAGATTCGATAGAATCTCATTCTTTACTAATCTTTCTAACCTTTCTTTGGATATATGACCCAAACCTTTATGCCACAAGTAAGCGTAATGTTCATTCACCAAACTCCGTTTCATTCCAACATTATGATTAACAATAAATAGGGATTCTGAAAAACCAACATCAAGTTTCAATTTATATAAACCATCCATAAGTATTGCATAACCAATAAAGCAATTATTCTTATATAAATTAAAACAACCATGTCCAACCTCAAAAGTATAACCACTAGCATCAAGTCTAGAAATAGAAACTAAATTTCTAGAAATCGAAGGTACATAGAGAGTGTTCATTAGATCCAAGTGATGTCCAAGTATCTAATGTTAGCCTCGTAAGTCCCCACACCTTCAATTAGGGCTTTCATTTGGTTCCCCATAAACGTAAAGTTGCTAGTTGGGCTTATGGTTTGGATAGTAAGAAATCCTCGCATAATATTGGAAACATGAGTAGTGGCACCAAAATCAAACCACCAAGTATTAGAAGGAACTTCGGATAAGTTTGATTCAAAGCATATAGAAACATAATGCATACCTTTCTTTTTGAACCAAACCTTACATTTTGGGCAATCCTTCTAATAATGTCCTTCTTTCTTGCGTAAATGACATTTATCTAACTGTTGTCCCTTCCTTCCATCATCGCAATCCGTAAAACTTTAGCGAGTTCTTTCTTTTTGAAATTCTTGGACTTTGGTTTGAATCTCTTTCCAACTTCTCGACCCACTAGGTTAATAGAATGAACTCCTTGTTTCTTTAATCTCGCTTCCTCCCCGAATAAGCTTACTCGGACAATTCATCAATATTCCACTTATCCTTTAATGTGTTATAATTGATGTGGAACTATCCATATTCAGTAGGAAGTGAGTTCATGATAAACTACACTAAGAAGGAGTCTTCCACAATCATGCCCAGATGTCTTAAGTCTTACTACAATGTTAGTCATATCAAGGACATGTTGTCGCATACTCTTTGACCCATCAAACTTCATGGTCGTGAGTTCGGCCATAAGTGTCCTCGCAAGTGCCTTATCGGCAGAACGAAACTTTTCTTCCACAAGCTTAAGAAATTCTTTAGCATTCCGATTTTCAAGTGCTAGAAAGAGTAGACTTAAATGTTGTTGGCAATCGACATTCATATAAAATTCAAATATAATCTGTTAGACCTTACCCACGTCTTATGGTGTGCTTTTTTAGTCTCCGTACTAGTAGCATTAAGGTCGCGAGGCTTATCCTCTAACAACGCCAAGTCAAGATCCAAAGCACCTAAATGGAAAGTGACTTGTTCGCTTCATTTAGAGAAATTCACACCAGCAAACAAGGTAACGTAAGATGCTTCGAGAATGGAGGCTAATAGCTACAAACATATAAACACTCACTAATTAACAGATTTAGATAGAAAGCACATACATTAAATATATTGTAGGTTTCTTTTGGGTAAACACAACAATACATATCATCACTATCATTAAAATACCATTTAGACTTTATAAGAAATTAAATAAACCTTTTTCAAATACATATAGCATCTTTGGATAACTATATATATGTAACAAGAGTATATCAATTTCTTCCTTTATATTTATTAGTTATAGAACATTGATTTACCTTTGGGTAAAGTCCTTAATTTCTATCAACTAATAAATTTCTAATTTTAATAGCATTTTATAAAATACATAAATTATATGACCACATATTTAAAATTAATTTAGCCACTTTGGTGACTTAACAAATCAATTTAATCATACTTGTCATACATATATATATAAGAAAATAATTTCTATCAACTAATAAATTTCTATTCTCAATAGCATTTCATAGAAATACATAAATTATATGACCACACATTCAAAATTAATTTGGCCACTTTGGTGACTAACAAATCAATTTAATCATACTATCATATATATATAAAGGGAAAAATGCATATATAATTCAATCATACACACACACACACGTATATATATATATATATATATATATATATATATATATATATATATATATATATATATATATATATATATTACCATGTATCGTGCCCCGCATGGCTCGCTACTCGCAGGCCTTGCGCAAGGCCGGTCGCGCACTAATTGCGCGCTCGAGAGGCTTGCGCAGAGAGCCACCTGGCCGCGCATTGCGCGACCGATACCTAAGTCATTGACGAGTGATACCACCGTCAATGATTTCGTCGTCGCTAACTCGTTAGCGCATGACAGTGGCCTAATCTGTCCTTTTTTTTTTCATCAATAATCTAAGAATTATTATCTATTCAAAACCTAGGCTCCGTTACCACATGTAAAACTTCATGTTTAAAGATCAAAATATAAATCATACCATGCAATGATCTAGACATAAATCATTCATGCTCATTCAAGATCTTGAATATAATAATAATCACATAGATAAAACGAATAAATTACTTACCTTGAGCGGAATTCAACATGATGTAGAGAGAGCTTTCAACAATCACGAACCTTATAAATTAGTTTCTCTCCCTTAACCCTCTTTTATGTAGCAGGTGGCTTGATGGATAGCCAAATACGTGAGTTCCGTATTTTTATATTTTGTCCGCATACCTTTTAGGGTAGAGAGAGTACTAGTTTATATACTCGTTAATATTAAATCTTGTACGTTTATTAAGTACTAAATTAACGATCCAGATTTAACATATTATTAAATTAAAAAACCCTAAACCAACTTAATATGGGCTTATAAAAAATATGAGCCATAACATCAAGCATATTTCTTACAGTTGCAGCAGAGAAGAATATGATTCTATTTAAAGATACTGATAGATAATTCTAGACCGAGAAACCTAGAATCACAACAAGTTCTGACAGGCCTTAAAGTCTAGCAATTTTCCAAATCTAGTGAACACATAAAAGACTCAGTTAATATTGACATTAAAGATTATAAATTACTTCACACTTCTCAACACTTAAAACTCAAGAACAGGAGACCTGATTAGGTGTTTAACTTTAAACGCTTGACCCACAATGCTTGAAGGGCAACATCCACAGCATCATGAAGGCCAACATAACTGGCATTAGGGTGTGCATAAGTGACTCTTGGCATCAAATTTATTACTGTACTTCTCATTCTCTCTACCTTTTCTTTCTCAATCTTCAAAAGCTCTTCCTCAATATTAACAACCGTTTTGCCTCCATTTCCCATCTTCAAATCATTATCATCTATAAAAACCGAATAGTCGCTCACATTTCCAGCTGGAAAAAACCATTCATACTGAGTATACACAGTGTGCGGTGAGAAAAAGACTGGTATGCAACCTGCCAACACTGAGTCAAAAACTGACCTCCGAGTGAACGAGTCACCAGGAGCTTGCAAACAAAATTGGGACTGAGACATCACCTTAAGTACCTCAATTGGGTAATGGCATTTCCTGTGTCCTTTCCCACATTTGAGAAGCTTGCATCTACTTGACTCGCTGCATTGCTTTATTAACTCGTCCCTTACAGCAGCTTTCTCAACCCCTTTACGTGGGGCGCCTATAAAGGAGAAGAGGTGAGGCCTACTTGATTGTCTCATCTTGTTCTGCCACGTCAGCATCTGGAATGACGTGTAAGGGTGGAAATAGGTAGGGTAAGGGATGCCGTGTTGGTAGTGGAGTCGGTCCCATGGGTTTCTCTCTACAGTCAGCACCGACATGTTCTGTACGGGTGGCAGAGTCAGGAGAGAGTTTCCAAAGTTGCCATTTCTTCTCAAGAAATCCCATGCGGTCCTTCCTAGGACTAAGAAATGGTCCTTACCGTGATGCCTCTGCCACCATGGTTTTGATTGCAGATAATCTACTAATCGGACTGCTAGTTCATTGCGTGCCGTGAGGTTGGCCTCGTGGAACTTGCTAGAGGCATCGAGGCCACCATAGAATGGAACGTAGAATAACTTGGCATTTACAGGATCTAAAGTGCGACATGGATGGTTCTCCATACGTGCGTGAAAAATCATCTCCGCAATGAACTGGTGGGTGGCAAACCATGTGTTGGCGACGGCGGACGCTACCATGTAGGAGATTGGTTGGCCTAGTCCGCGATTTACCACATGAGGACACATGTCGGTGTAAACATTTAGACGGCTGCAATCTTTCAGCAAACCTTTGTTGAACTCAGGAGGCAGGTCGTATACATACACTGACATGCCTCCTTCACACTTGGATATCGCAGATGATTTGGATGTCTTGGAGTACTTTTCAGCAACGTTTAATTTCTTAGAGCACAAGAGAAAACATGTTAGAATACCATACCAAGTAAAAAGCAAGACACAAACTAGCAGAGCGTATCTCAACTGTGGTTTAAGAAATGAGTAATTTGTTTCTTTGGTTTTGGAGTACTTCTCTTTCTCGGTCCGTGGAGCTGCAGATTGTTTCTTAACAACCATCACTGTAGAAGGGAAGGAGAAGGAATGGATGGGCTAGGAGTGGAAGCCTTTGTGTTTCAAACAGAATAAGAAACTGAAACCTCTAAATTAAATTGTTGCGTTGCAGACAAATGAAGTCAAAGGATGGTGAGCTGTGTGGAGTTTTGTGAGGACTAAAGTTCCATTAACAAAAGAAGAAAAGGTATCAACATGGAAGCAAGTTAAGTAAGAGAAATCGATATATAGAATATGGAAATAAGTTTCTATATGCTTGTGCATTTTCCATTTACGTGTCCTAATCTAATCAAAGCTATATCAAAAAACAAGCATTATTTACTCGGAGTTTTTCTACCATAACTTGCTTTAGAAATTCAAGTACCATGGCTGGATTCTCCCCCGCAATCAAGTTACGACCAATACGTGCATATCATTACTCAAAGCACGGAAAAATAAAAAAAGAAGTAAATCAATTGTCCGGTGGTGTACGCTACAAGTATTATATTTGAATTGTTGTCACTGGACGAAGAAAAATAAATTGTTTTTCATAACACGTGTCGAAGTCTTGGCAGTATTTCGGCCAAAAAAATGGCAACGTGTTCCATACGATTATCATCATGATCTTCGTTTAGCGAAATTGACGCCATCTCGGATATTCGATATTAGATAGTCTTTGTGAGGAAAATGATCACAATACTATTTACAATCTTTAAGATATGTATAAAGAATTTACAAAAATCTGCAAAATATACATCTGGAATGTCATGAGATAGGAATCTTCCACACATGACATGGTAGAGCGCCGGCAAATGGACTGAATTTGGTTTAACAAGTGGATACATGCATGCATGATGACGCGTACTTCTTTATGCAAATATTTGTTACGCTATTTCTTTCATATTTACTTTTGCATTAAAATAGTTCAATACACATTTTTTATTTCCTTAATTACTCTAAAGATTTTGGTTTTCTAGCTAATTATTGTTATAATTTTTGGTATAAAAATATTTCCTTTTTAATTTGTGTGTTGACTTTGCATTGAGACAATATTAAATCTTGACTTCTTTTTTATTTTTAATTTGGATTTTTCTCATGTTTCTTATTAAATATAACAAATGACACGGACGATCACTACAAGGAAGGTGGAGATTTGTGAGGAGCATTTAGTGACAGTCTAAAAACTCCTATTAAGAGGAAAAATATCTATTTTCAACCTTTTTCGACGGTTTTAGCGACGGACCATGGTCCGTCAATAAAATTGAAATCCTAAAATACCCACCTGTCAAAATTTTTTGCCCAAATTTTCTCCTCTTCCTCTCCTTTTCTCCTCCACCTTCCAGACTTCAATTAGCCTAAAATTCCCATCAAATCTTCCCTCTCTCTTTCATTTTGCTTCCAATCTCCTCCTCTCTCTCCTCCTTCCCTTTCTCCCTTCCATTTCTCCCCATTTCCCTTCTTTTTTCTCTCTTTCTTCCCCCTTCTTCAAGCTTTGGGATTCCCGCCAAACCACCTCCGCGAAGCTCCTCCACCGACGAAGCCCCCTATCCTCCTTGTGTGGGTGAAAGGTCCTCCCTCATTTAACCCCTCAATTAAGTTTTAATTTTTTGGCATTTTTTTTCATAACTAGATTTTAATTAATTTATTTTTTTAATTTAATTATTAATTTTAATGATAATTGTTAGTGTTAATTGTGTTATTGGTTAGTGTTAATTGTTAATTGTGTTATTGGTTAATTGTTTAATTGTTATTGTTAATTTAGTGATAATTGTTAATTTAGTTAATTTAGTGTTAAGTGTTAATTGTGTTATTGTTATTGGTAATTCTTAATTTAGTTAATTTATTTGTAATTTTTAATTAGTTAGTTTAATTTTTAAATAAATGTAATTGTTCTGAATTTGTGTTTATTGTGTTAGTTTAATTGTTTAAAAAATTTGATTGTTATTAATTTTTGTTGTTAATTTAATTTTTATTTTTATTGGTTTAATTTTTAATTTGTAAGCTTAATTGGTAATATTTAATTGTTAATCAAGTAAGTTTATTGTTAAATATTTTTAATTAGTTTAATTTATGGTTTTTTAGAATATTAATTAATTGAAAAAATTGATAATAATGTTATAGAAAATTTTAACGAGTTACAAAATTATTAATTTTCAAAATTATATTTGGTAATTGAAAAATGAATTAGTAATTAAGTTTGCTTAATTGGTTGTTGATTAAGTGATGGAGTCAAGTAATTACAAAATTAAGTAGTTATTACAAATTTTAATTATTTGTAAATTATATTTAGTTATAAAAAAATAATTAGTTATTAAGTTTATTTAGTTGTTGATTAGATTAAAAAAAGGAGAGTTTTTACAAAATTAATTAGTGATTAAAAATTAAATTTTTATCAAAATCTAATTTAGTATTTAAAAAATTAATTAGTAATTACATTTATTTAGTTAATAATTTAGTAAATGACTTGGTAATTAATTTAGTTAATAATTCAATAATATATTTTGATAAATTACTTTTCGATTAAGTGAAGGAGTTAAGTAATTACAAAATTAAGTAGTTATTACAAATTTTAATTATTTTTAAATTATATTTAGTTGTAAAAAATTAATTATTTATTAAGTTTATTTAGTAGTTGATTAGATTAAAAAAGGAGTTAAGTTGGTACAAAATTAATTAGTGATTAAAAAATTAAATTTTTATCGAAATCTAATTTAGTATTTAAAAAAATTATTAGTAATTAAGTTTATTTAGTTAATTTAGAAAATTATTAAGTAAATGACTTGGTAATTAATTTAGTTAATAAGTCAATAATATATTTTGATAAATTACTTTTTGATTAAGTGAAGGAGTGAAGTAATTACAAAAATTAAATAGTTATTATAAATTGTAATTATTTGTAAATTATATCTAGCTATAAAAAAAATTAATTAGTTATTAAGTTTATTTAGTTGTTGATTAGATTTTTTTGAAAAAGGAGTTAAGTAGTTACAAAATTAATTAGTGATTAAAAAATTAAAATTTTTATCGAAATCTAATTTAGTATTTAAAAAATTAATTAGTAATTAAGTGTATTTAGTTAATAATTAAGTAAATGACACTGGTAATTAATTTAGTTAATAAGTCAATAATATATTTTGATAAATTAGTTGTTAATTAATAATTAATTGATTAATACTAAGTTAATTTAGTAATTAAGTCTGTTTGAAATATTTATAATTTATTTTAATTAAATAATTAATTAGTAATTTCAAAATTAATTTAGTTTAAAATGAATTCGGATCGTTCATAGATTGACTTTAGATTAACCGATGGACTATTAAATCATCTTTTCGTAGATGGGATTAACGAATTTATTAATTTTGTCATAAGTCATCCAAAATTTATGGATGGAAATAAGATACAATGTTCTTGTAAACTTAAAAAATGTCAAAATCGTAGTTATGTTGAGCCCGATACTATTACGTATCATTTGATGCGATATAGTTTTGTGTCCGAGTATTATGTGTGAAGACATTATGGAGAGAATGATTCGATCATTTATGATGATAATTTGAATAATTATGTTCAACAAGGATAAATATTTGATGATCCTCAAGTCAATCGATACTAACAATGGTGATGGATACGAACTGGTCCATCATTTATCCGTCTAACACGGACGAAGACCCAAACCCTAATACCTAAGGGTTTTATGATTTGTTAAATGCATCAAATAGAGAAATATGACCCGAGTTCGGAAAACCATTTAGAGTTATCGGTAACATCTCATTTGTTACATCCGAAGTCCAAGCATCATTTCTTAGAGAGATGTTTTGATGACTTATATTAACTTTTGAAAGAGTTGATGCCTACCGATAATCGCATGCTAGAAGACTTTTACAGTACGAAAAAATAGTAGAAATAATGGTTTTACATGTTGAAAAGATCCATAATTGCATAAACAGTTACATGATTTATTAGGGTAAAGATAGCGAAAGAATATTTGTAAAATATGTGATCATCCTCGATATCGAAACCCTAAGCAAGGATCAATTAGACAAACATATGTCTCATACAAAAAAATATATTATTTTTCCCTAACCTCACGATTATAGAGGATTTATGCATCGATCATCACTATCGGCGACATGACGTGGCATGCTCGACATGTAGTTGAGCCAAACGTCATGCGTCATTGTTCGGACTCTTATACATGGTGGTATTTTGACCAAACATATTCTTCATTTGCATTAGAAATTCAAAATGTAAGATTAGGTGTTTATATTGATGAGTTTCATCCTTTTGGTCAAACTGGACAATAATATTCTTCATGGCTCGTGATTATAACGCCTTACAATTTACCACCATGAAAATGTATGAAAAAAGAATATATGCTTTTAACTCGTAATTGTTCTAGGTCCTAAAAATCATAAATTCAATTTAGACGTATACTTACAATCCTTAATTAAAGAGATGATTGAATTATTAGAAGTAAGTGCTCTTACTTATGATGTGTCCCGTAAAGATAATTTTCATATAAGAGCTGCTTGTCATATGGATAATTAATAATTTTTCTGCATATTCAAAGTTGTCGAGTTGAAGTACTACGAGTAACACGAGCATGCTCATATTGTATAAAAAATTCTAATGGTTTCGGCGTCCATAACGGTAGAAAAATTTCATGGTTTGATTGTCATCGAAAGTTTCTCCTACAAAGCCATCCTTTTAGACAAAACAAGAATACGTTCAAGCGAAATTCTATTGTCATAAATATTGCTTCTCGATCAAGTCCGGAATAGAAAATTTGCAAGAATTAAACCATTGGCGATTGTTGAAAGTAATGAAAGAGGGCTCTAACGAGTATAACAAAAATATATCTAAGTATTATGGTTGGAGAAAATGTAGTATATTCTATGATCTACTTTATTGGAGTTCTAATCTAATTAAGCATAATTTGAATGTGATGCACATTGAAAAAAATCCTTTGATAATGTGTTTAATACGGTTATGAGTTTTGTCGAGAAAAACAAAGAAAATGCAAATTCTAG